AATTTTGTATTTAAATATTATCCATTATATTTTTAGTCAATTTTAGAAGTTCAAATAAAACCTAAATAAATATATAAATCCAACATATTTATTTATAATATGAATAAAAAAGAATTTGCATATTTTGATATTATTTTATTATTTGACAATTATTATATACTTATATATTTTTTAAAAAAGTTTACGATACTTGAAATTGAATATAACTAAGAATTTATTTTTTAAGTGAGCTAAAATTAATATATAATAACACTAAAAAAATAAAAAGTCAAAACCATTGGATTACTTAAAAAAAATCATTTCAATGAAACAAACTACAAATAAAGTAAACTAAACATTTATATAAATGACTTTTTCCTATTAATCCGATAACCCATTTGGCCATTCCACTTAATTAGTCCAACAAATTTTTACTTTTATTTTTAATTTTTATTTTATTTGATTAGTTTTTTTAGTCATCATATTATAATTTTTAATAATTTTTTAAATTTTAAAAAAATTTCTTTCATTTATTTTGTTTTTATTTGAACATAAATTAAATAACAACATAATTACATTGAATCTAATTAATTAGTTTGGAATCGTATACACTCGTTGAATGAATGTTCAAATAAAATGTTGAGTAATACATATTAAAAGTGTTGGGCAAAAAGCTCAAATCCAATCAAACATCTAAGCCAACGAAAGCAAAATCAAATAATCAATCAATTATACAAGAAACAACAATTTAATATGGTTTAGCCCATTCGACCTATATCCATGAATGAGAAAAAAATCCACTAGTTGTAGAGAATTACAAATAAACATCAAACCAACCACTTACAATCAATACTCATAAGCCATTTTAATCTTTTCTAGTCTTATAGAATATTTACAACCTAAACAAACACTCACCCATGTGCACTCATATACCATACCTATATGGACTCTTTCAATCTCCTTTAGTCCACTCACAAACATTCAAATATACACACCCATAAGATGTAAATCTTTAATCGTCTTATGAGGTCTATCTCATAAAACTCTACAACTCTCTCATATTTTTTTCTCATACCTAACCCTATAAAAACTTCACCTATTTATATGCATACAAACTTGTCTATCAAGAATCCATTTCTTCTTAGAATTTTTTTTTTTGTAAGTCCTCTTATCCATCAAGTAATATATAACCAATCCCAAACAAATTTCTTATGAGATTTGAGTCATTATTCTCAATAATCTCCACTTTGACTCAATTTTCATCAATTATCAATCTTCATTCTAGACATGATTGGCTTCACTTGCAATGAAAGTCTCATAATCATCTTTTCATGTATGTCTTCAAGCTTCATGTAAATTAATCTATCAAAGCTTGAACTTGAACTTCTTCTTGAATCGAGCTCTTCTAGGCTTACCTCTTTTCATATCTAAAATCTTTAGCTCTAATACCACTTATTGTGGATCATGACAGCTTTGATATCACTTATTGAGCAAAAAGCCCCAATCCAATCAAACATCCAAGCTAGCGGAGGCAAAATCAAACAATCAATCGATTACATAAGAGATCACAATTTAACATGGTTCAGCCTAATTAACCTACGTCTATAAATGAGAAAAAAGATCCACTAGTTATAAAAATTTACAAACAAACATTAAGCGAACCACTCACAATCAATACCCATAAGCCTTCTCAATCTCCTCTAGTCCAATGGAGTATTTATAACCCAAATATGCACCATCAAAGATATACCCATATGCACAAATGCACCATACCTATGTAGACCCTTTCAATCTCCTCTAATCCATTCATAAATATTCAAATATACACACCCATAAAATGTAAATCTCCAAAGTCCTATGGGGTGTCTATCCTATAAAACCCTAAACTCTTTTATATCTTTTTCTTATACCTAGTCCTATAGGGACTTCATGTATTTATAAGCATATAAACTTGTCTATCAAGAATACATTTCCTCTTAGAATTCTTCTTTTGTAAGTCTTTTTATCTATCAAGCAATATCTAACTAATTTCAAATAAATCTCTCATGAGATTTTAGTTACTATTACCAACAAAAAAAGTATCAATTAATTGGTTTAACCTTAATAATCAATACTTAGAAATTTTTAAAAAATCATGATATGTAAATATTAATTGATATAATATTGATCAAATTTTAATATTTAATCATTTAACATTAATATTATATATAATTTTATTCACTAAATACCAAATACCCAATTATAATGTTGAATAGAAAACATTATTAGAAAGTGTATCAATTATCATTCACAAAAAATACTTAATATAAATAATTGGTCAATTACTTAGCTCAACCTTATATGTATTTTGATTTTATTTGTATGTGAATCATAATACTAACATTACTACATTAACTATATAGGTCAAATTATATCATAGGTTGCACTAAAAAAAAAATTATGTCATAGGTTCTCACACTCTATCAAAATTTAAAATTTAATCATTGTATTGTAATTTATATAAATGTAATCATTGTATTGTAATTCATATAAATTTAATCTTTCTATTATCTTGATTTGATAATCTTAGTTCAATAATTAACACCATCTAATTTTTGCTGTTAAAAATATTACGTAACAATTAACTTGATTACATGGGCATTGACTTTGTTAGCATGACATTAGCTTTCTTGACATGACATTGATTTTGTTGACATGACAATTTAGATTGATGAAATTAGTTATGAAACTATGAAAATGGCCCATATACTCTCACAAAATATGAGCTTTAGTTCCTTTAATATAATTCATAAAAATCTCAATCTCGTACAAATCAAAATTAATAACATTGTCCAATTACTAATAAAAATAATATTTTTTGAATTTAAAAAAAATCATATTTTAATTTTTTGAAAAAATTAATATTTCAAAAATTTTCAAAATTTTTAAAATATTAAATTTGATTTTTTTAATATTTTAATTTCTTTAACAAGTCATATTTATTGTTTATTTCAAATAAGATTTTATTTTAAAAAATAATAATTTTTTAAGATTTTTCTAAGATTTTTAAAATATTAAATTTATTTTTTTCAATATTTTAATTTTTTTAAAATTTCATTTTTTGAAAGTTTTTGTATTTTTTCAAATTTTATCATTTTTATTTAATCATAATATTTAGTTTTATTTTCTTAATTTTTGGAAATTTTAAAAAATTTTCTATATTTTTAAATTTTTACTTTTTAAAAAAAAATTTATATATTAATTTTTTAAAAAAAGTTTATAAATTTAAAAACTTTTTACATATATTTTTATGTTATTCAAGTGAAGTATAAATCATAATTTGAAGCTCTTCATGCTTCGCCATTGCTTTATTTTACCTCAATTTTTATTTTCTTCCACCTTAAATCTATCAAAACAAAATAAATTTTAAAAATCCATTTTCTCTATACAAATTTAAAATTTAATTGTTTTACTCTACCAAAATTTAAAATTTAATCCTTGTATTGCCACATCATCAATTGTTATGTCAATATTTTAATAGTAAAAATTTGAAAGAATTAGTAATTGGATTAAGATTTTCATATCAAAAGAGAATGATGACTAAATTTATATAAATTACAACAAATAGATTAAATTCAAAAATTTTGACAAAGTATAAAGACTTTTAGTATAATTAGCCAACTATATCTAATTGTATAGACTAATAGACCAAATGTTCTCATTAGAATGGTGAATTTAAAAAAAAAATATACATCGATTGATATTAACATAGTATTATTGGATATATTCATTTATAACAACCAAATTAACATAAACAATTTGTTTTAATTTATAAGATAGTGCTTTTATGTTCAAGTAAAACTAATATTTTATATGTCTAAAATACTAAAATTAACAATATTATTTTTATTGACATTATTGTAAATATAATAGCGATAATATTAAAAATGATATTTATATTTAATGTATTTCAAATCAATTTTATTTTTATAACCAAATAGAGTGATTTAGCATCAATTTTTTTTTAAATTCTTAATCCACCTTTAACCACCTGTCTTTATATTTATCTAATTGAAAAATATTGTGCATATAAACTCATTCGAACCCATATTCTTCAAATGCCAACTTCAATGTCATATAAATTAATTTATAGGTTAGCCGATAGTATCGGTTTGTTGATAATACATTATTGATATAATTGTATAATAATTATAAATAATAACATTTTTAAAAATTTAAAACTTTATTCAAGAAAAAGTTTATCATTTATTAATTTTAATTTTTCAAAAAATAAAATCATATAATTAGAATTTAATTTTTTTAAAGTTATAAATTTGATATTTTATGAGTTTCAAATATGATTGATCTTAGATTCAAAATATTGTGAGTTTAAATTGTGTCAGTTTTAGATTTTTTTTGAGTTTGAATTTCTTTAAATTTATGTCTTTGACTTTCTCTAATCAATTTCAGTAGCTTTGAATTTGATCATAGCTTGATTTGAACTAATTTTAAGATTAAGCCAAATTTGTCAACTATAGATTAGTAGGTAGGTTTAACATTGTAGCTTTACTAGGTATAATAACAAATTGGATTCGGTTTTATTATTTTGATTAATGCATAATATTAAGAATTTTTAAAATTTGATTCAAAGTTAAATTTATTTTTTAAAAAAATTAAATTGATTAGAATCAAATTTTATCAATTTGATTCTTTTCATCAATTTTTTAAATTAATTATTTTTATTTTTTGCTATTATTTTTAAATTATTTTAAATATATTTAAATATATTTAAATATAAAATAATTATTTTTATTTATAAAATTTAAAAATTAATAAAAATATATAATTCAAATATTTTTAAATTTTTACTTTTCGATCTAAAAATCTAATCGAACCATATCAAAACATAAAATTCTCTAACTTGAATCGAACTGAATAAAAAATAATCTAAACACTGAATTCACTCATTTAACCATTATAATTCCGAATTGAGTTTCAAAAATTTTTTTCCCCTCTAGGCCCCACGGCTCCGATCATACTGTAATTATGCTATTTTTGAGGTACCTAAATACAAATGCAAAATTAACAATCACGCATCTCTCAAATAAATTTATTTTTCCACGACTGAGGGGAACAGAAGAGGAGTCTAGCAAGGCAGAAAACGTGAGAACTTTCTCTTTCCTTTCGAAATTAAGATTTAAAACTAAACCAAAAAAAAAAAAAAAAAAAGAAAACAAGAAACTCAAAGCGGGCGACCGCACTGTTTAATACAAATACGTTCCTGTAAGATTTCTCAATCTTTAAATTTCTCTTTGGCATTTTCAACTGATTTTCGCATGCAAAAGTTTTTTCTATTTATTTATTTATTTTGTTGTGGCGGGAACCTGAGTTTTTGTTGTATCGTGGGTGATTTTGTTGTTTTTTCTTCGATATGTATTTTTGGATTAGATTGGCGATTCATCTATTTTAATGCTCATTTTCTTATCTGATAACATTGCTTGGTAAGTAATTTCATTCTTCGTGTTTGTGCCCATTTCATACTTTTAATTTTTTAAAAAGAAATTTCCAAGGTGAACATTTTAGGGTTTCTGGCTTTTAACTGTGGGGTATTGTTGTTTTTTATGGGTCTGTTTGGGTTCTGATTTCTGAGAGAAAGATATGAATGAAAGTTGAGATTTCAACCACGTTTTGGGTTTTCAATTAAAAATGGATTAATTTTTTTTTTTGTACACGTTTTGGGTTTCCATCATCACACCGCATTGCTTGTAATTCAAAATCATAGGATTATTTATTTTTTTCTTTTGTCAGTTATTGTAGAAGATTCTGATACACATCATTTTAGTTTTTTTTGAGAAAAATTGGAAATCATGTGTGGTTGTTTGGTAGAGTTGTTTTGTATAATGGAGAAAAGTAAAAATGTAGTTGACTGTTATTTTTGCTTCTTAATGCTTATTTAGTTGACTTTGGCAACAGTCACAGAAACATCTCTTATTATGTGTTCTTGGTGCATTTGTAGAGGGGGTAGTTTGGAAAATGCCTCTCTTCAAGAGGAAGCCTTTTGGTTTAGCAGAGCCACTGGAAGATTTGGAACCCTATGAGCTTGTCTACCAAGTTCGATTCACCAAAGAGATTTTTCGAGATTATCAGTATCCTAAGTTGAAGTATTTCAAAGTAATTATCATCATTATTTTTTCTTGGGTTTAATATTATCCTCTGTCTGGTTCTTGCAAAACTAATCTTAGTTTAAGGTATTTGGATATTCCTGCCTTACCCAGCTGAGGAGAAAAATATATATATCATGCTTTATTGTGTTTGTCAAGATGAATTGTATTAGATTCCTTATCTCCTCACCGCTCTAATTATATTATTCTGTGTAAAGACTGGAAGCTTTCTCTTTCTAATGGCAAGAAACAAATCTCTTCTTTTTTTTTTCCCTAAATTTTTGGTTTTGTTAGATACCAAATGGGGTTGTTTTTGCATGTTTGTTTTCCTTAACATGGATCAGAGAGTATCTGAACCGGATAAATTTATATCGTCAGAGAGTTTGGGTGTGCAAGTCTACTGGAAAATCTAACTTGACTTATGAAGAGGCTTTGGTGTCGGAAAAACATGCGATTAAGAAGGTTCAACAGCTACCCCATGAGCTAGTGGCACCTGCATTGCGTATTATCCAATTTAGTAAGAACCAATCATCTGCTTTGATGACTGAAGCTTTAGTGGTTATTCTTATTCTTTTTCTTTTCTTCTTCCATTTTTTTGTTTGTACTATGAGGTCATTGAAGGCAGCGGATAATCTATAGTAAGATGATATTTTATTTATCATGGACATAAGAGATATTCTGGAGTGACATCTAAATCTCAAATCATTTAGCTTTCTTTTATGTGTTTTACACCTTAATTGGATTGTAGTTGTAGCACATGGTTGCTTGAAGTCCTGGGCCCCTTAGTGCACAGGTGGAGATGGGTTTGACATCCATTGATCACAGCAATTCACTGGCAACCTTGTAGCAACAATTTTTGTATCCATACCAGAATGCACCTTCTGTGGATTTGTTTGGAGATACTGTATAGAGAAGTTTTTACTGATGTATTTCATTGTAATATGGGTAAAGCCTGGAAATTTTTTATAAGATTTAGTTTTTAGAATGTTTCTCATTTTAATATCCTACTAGTCATTTCAAACCTTGACTTTTTTAAATATGTAGGCTCTGAGATGGTTTATGATTCTTAAGTTTGAGCCATTAGTAAGTACTGATAGGATGAATTGTTACTTTTATTTCTTGATATATTTATGTGTCTATGGTTATGTTGTTTCTTGTCAGTTGTCTAAATAATAAAAGGTATATGAGTTCAATGTTGGGTAACATTTTCTTGTTTCTTATATTGTAAACTCTCTTTATAAATCCTTGCTTGTTGATAAATTATAGTAGAGTGCTAAAGTTAGACTTTAATTTTGTCTCTTTTATGGGTGTCTTTTATGCTACTATTATTGCAGACAGTGGTTGTAATTATTTGAATTTATGACTACTTTAATGTTTGGAGAGTGACGTTGATAGCATTTTGTTGCCGGTTCTTTTGTAATTGCCATTTCAAACATTGATATTGATAAATGTGGTTGCATGTTTTAAAATGCATTTAAGGTATTCACTCTTTTTTTTGTTCCCTTTTTCTTTATACGTTTATTTCTGTCTTTATTCATTGAAATAATAATTTAGTTTTATTATTCCAGTCTTTATCTGCTTGCTTTTTGTCTTAGATTTGGTTTCTCTATGTGTGTTCATTCATATGTATGGTATTTGCAAACTGAGGAAACAAATTAGATTGATTTCTAACAACCAATAGGTGTTTAAGAATTGGATTAAGGTTCTTGGAGATCTCAATTTGTGTATCTCTAATGATGTTAGAAGTTTTTGTGAAGAGAGCTATGACTATGGTAATGAAGTTCAAAAATGAAGTTCTGGTTAGAAGTGAAATTGGAAACTACATAAATTTGCTTTGTTATTTTTGGGGTGATTATTCAAAGATTCATGATTGTCTGGGTATTAGCAGTGAGTGAAGGGTCTTAAGTGTCTTTTTTTTTCTTGGGCAAGAGTGTGTATGTGTGAGTGGGTGGGGGGCTGATGGTGGTGGAATTGCAGCTTTTTTATGCTGATAAATTTGTGTTTAATAGTGATATTATTTGAGCTTAGGTGAGAGCTTGAGATTTTGTGAACCTGAATTTGATGTAAACTAACAGTTGGATTAAATGCTAGTGGGGCCTTGTATTTTCCTTTAAAACTCTCAGAAACAATATTCAGAGTTGTGGCTTTGTGAGCTTAACTTTATTTGTCATACTTTGCATAAAAACTAGATTAAAGCTTCGTCTTTTAGCTCAAAGTTCCTGGCTAACAAAATGGTAGAAAATGTTCTCCTTTCAATGATACCAGCACTTTAAACTGAAAACTTTTGTGAGTTTCACATATACCATGACTTAGCATAGGAACATTTTTTGTGCTCTCTATTTGCAAATAGACAAATATTAATAGATTTACAATATTGTTGCTTACATACCAAAATTTTGCAAATTTAACAAATGTCTCCTTTCATAATTGAATTGGGTACACCGACTATGTGAGTTGGAAAAAATGTTTTGAAAAGAAAAAAAAGTTCTTTTTTTTTTAATTAAAAAGACATTCTTTCTTTGAATTTTGTTATAATAATTTCTTTTTTTTTTTTGTAATTACCCTTGATTTAGTTGACTTGTTGCACCAACTCAATAAGGGATTTTATAGCTAGTATAGATTTGTTTGCATTAGGGGTTAAAGGTTGAAAATAAAAAAGTTTGGGATTTTTAAAATAGGATTTTCAATATCAAGTTGATAAAAGTTATTAATTGGAAAATAATAAAAGCAAGTGAGAGAAAGAAGAAAGAGAAGAGATATTGTCCTTAGGGTCTAATGCTTTGTGCAACCTAATGTATCTTATATTGACTTTAATTCCAAAGTGCTTGGGGTTGATTACATGACTTTATATTTCATTATTCTTGGTCTAAGGGCATAATCTCTGGGGTTGTTGGGGTTTGAAATTTTTGAGGGATTTTGAAGTGCTTACATTTTGGAATGCTTCAATTCTGAAACAAAAAGAAACCAAAAAGAACCAATCAAACTGACTTTTTTTCTAATGGAAGTATAGCTTGGATTGTACATCTTGTGTCCCAGAAGGTAGAAAAGAGAGGAATAGAAATAAAAAGGAATGATTATGTTGCCAATCCTTGTCATTCATAAAAGGTATGAGATAACTTGTTGGGGCTGCTATACATTTCAGTTGGGGTGGATCTGATTCACTGCACTGCTTTTTAACTGATGCATAAAAATTTTTAAAACAGTAGCTGAACTAACAGTGATAAGATGTAAGACATCTTTGGTCGGTCAAATTCTAGCAATTTCTAGAAGTTTAAAATGAGCACTAGAATATTAGGAGTTGGAAGAACTAGATTGATGACATATATGACTACCAAAATATCTTTTTGCCTTTTACAAGCTTCTCGTCAATGAGAAAATGCTGCAATGAATATATGGGAATGGATTTTTCTTGATTCATTTTTTATTTTTGTGCCTTTATTGAATTTTAACAGATTTTAGGATTACATAATCTCTCATGCACGATAGATATCTTCCCTATACATGATGTTCATCCATTATTGTGTGATATTTTGTATGTGTCCCTAATAAAAATTAACTGACTGGTGGATGTTTGTGAATGAATGGTTCTAACAGTAATCCAGAGCTTATGAGATGATTGTGGATTTTGTCATGAATGATTGGGGGACCTTAACTTTAGATTGTTAGGGAGAACAGGAAAATGTTTGGCTGTTGTATAAAAGGGGAAAAAGAAAAAAAAAAAGGAGCTCTATGCATAGTGGTTACAAAACTCTCTCCTTTAGCTCTCCGAACTTGTGCTTCTGTTTGTATATTTTTTTTTTGTGTTTTCAGTTCCTGTTTATTAATTCATTCTCGTTTCCAGTCTTCCCTTAATCTTCATTTCACTACACGTGCAACTTTATGTAATAGCCTGTGCCTTTTGGCAGGTATGCTATCATTGAGAGATCTTGCTGATGTAATAGCTAAGAAATTGCAGAAAAATTTGTTTGTGGGTGCTCAATTATATGGAAGGAGGGATGGTGGTCTGCATCCATGCAGAGTGTTAAAACTTGTGGAGAATGGTGTTGACAAAATGCAGTACGAGGTAGCATGGATTGGCAAAAATAAGAAAACAACAAAAAATGCAATTTTACTAGGAGAAGATCTGGAATGGAAGAAAACACCCTTCAGCAGGAGTATTTTGAAGTCTTTTATTCGGGAGTCCACGTGCCGAAGTATTCCTTGGGTGCTTCATGAAAAACTGGCACAGAAACATGGTATCTCTACTGACCCTCCAAAGGAGTTGGCTAGCAGATTTTTCTTTCAAGATGGACAGCTGGTTAACAGAGTGAAGAAAAGGAAAAATGAAAACAGAAACAATGTTGGGGTAATTATACATGTTTATGGCGCTCGGTTTAGGATTTTTATTTTATGATATTATGTTTTGGCTCATATTTTTTGATATCCAGGAAGTAAATGAAGAATCTGGGAAATCCAAAAGGAAGAAAGGAGAAAAGGGGAAGTCTGATGCAGTGACAAACAGTAGGGAAGGTAGGTGAAAGTATGAAAATTCAAAGCTTGGTGCAAGTTAAACATCATTTATCTTTTCTATGTATCGTATTCAGTTGAGATTATTGCCCTACAGTTTTCAAGTTTTCTGTCTGTGCATTTTTTTCCTCTTGGTTTTACTTCTTGTTGTGGGTGGGTTTTCCTTGTTAAGGGGGGTCTGGAGGTTTGTGTCGGCAAGAACAAGGTTATGCCCTTTTTCAGCAGGCAAGCGAGTACAAGTGTGTTTATTTTTCACTTACTCTAATTCTTGCTTCTAACTTTAATTTACAGAAAATAATCTGCCCAAGGAAGAACCAGTCAAATATCCAATTGATGACCTGTTGGTGCAGCCTGGTCCAGATGATCCACTTTTCACTGATCGCCCTTCTCCTTCGAGGGATTTCAATGTTCCAATGGATTGCGTTGGGGATCTTTTGATGGTTTGGGATTTTTGTTCTTCATTTAGTAGGCTGCTGCATTTATGGCCATTCTCTCTTGAAGATTTTGAAAATGCTATCTGTCACAAGGATAGTAATTTGGTTCTCATTGCGGAAACACATTCAGCTTTTCTTCGGTTGCTCATAAAAGATGATGGTGAATATTCTTTGACTTTACAGAAGAGAAAACGGAAGCCGAAGGTCAGAATCTTTTTGTTGAAATTTGCATTTAATACATATGTCTACATGAACCTTCTTCTCTTTATTTCCTCCCATGTGGAACTTCCCCTGCTCATTCTCCATCTTCATAATGCTGGATGTTTGTCTTTTGACTGCTCTTATTTCAGATTTCACTCATCACTTGGACCGAGTATATCTGTGATTTCTTGGAAATGATCAACACTACTGAATTATGCTCTTCTATGACCACTATAAAGAGGGGAAATTATGGCCGTCTGGATACTAATGCCAAATTAGGGGTATTGCTAGAATTGGTTAGTCATGCCCTTGAAACAGATCTTATTAGGGGGAAGTTGGATGAGCATATTGAACAGCGACAGGCACTTGGTGCCACAAGAAGAGGAGAAGCTTTGGAATTTGCTAGAAAGAAACGAGAAGAGAAGGAAAAGTTGAAAGGTGAGTCTGGTGCTGATGGATTAGTGAAGGAAAATAGTATGGAGAGCACAGGAAGCAATCCACATATAACAGAAAACGAAAATCCCATGATAGAGAACGGAGAGATGGTGGAAGATGTTATTTCATCTAGACAAAGCAATGTGTTTTATAATAGGTGTGGTTTGCTCATTTCTTAACATGCATTAGATATATTAATAAGGCTCCGTTTAGTAGATGTTTTGCTATTTGCCTTTGTTTTCAATTCATTTTTTTTATAAAAAGCAAAAGCATCACTCGAATGGATTATAAGTTTATCCTTTTTTCCCTCTTGATCAAGTATAATTTTGTATGATTTTGGGAGAAGAGGGGACTAGCATTGAGCAAAATGGTTGGGTACACCACTAAGTTATGTTTAGTTTGAAGAAAAAGTTTTTTCTTTTTAACCTTGGCAGGAGGCAATTAGACTGTCCAGAGAAAACAGAGGAGAAGCAAAATGTGGATTCAAAAGCCAAATCAGAAAATAGAACTAATTCAACTGATAGGGAAGCACAGAAACAGCTAACTGGTGAAAAAAGGGAAGCAGAGGATAAGAAGAGTAAAGAAAAGAGGGAACAAAGGGTTCAATCCATCTCCTTACTCTTTATTTGATGTGATTTGTGTATGTTTTACTTTATTCTTCTTTCATTAACATTATTTATATATCACAGAGGGAATACTTTGAACGAGAGATGGAGAAACGAAGCATACGTACGAATCCCTTGGGTAAGGACAGGGACTATAACAGATATTGGTGGTTTAAGCGAGATGGGAGGATATTTGTTGAGAGTTCTGATGCAAAGCAGTGGGGCTATTATAGCACCAAGGAAGAGGTATCATATTTGAATGGGTTCTATTTATGCAATTTCTTTTGAATGCTTCACTAATGTTTTAACCAATATTTGATGGACAGGTTGATGCATTGATAGGATCATTGAATTGTAAGGGTGAGAGAGAGAGAGCTCTTCGAAAACAGCTGGAAAAATTCTATGGCAAGATATGGTGAGAACGGCATCTAGGTTTTCCTTGTAGAACTGGAAACTCCTTCCATAAATTTACCCTATTTTAGAATATTTTAGTATCTTTTTCTTCCCCTCAAAAACTATTTGTTCAATTTCTTTTTATATTAATGATGAGGGCCTTAAAACTTTTGGTTTTTTTTTAATAACTCCTTTGGATGCTCAGACCTAGTAGTACTTGTAGTAGTTTCTAAAATATATAGTGGGTGCAAGTCTAAATTTAGCTACTAATTCTCACATTCCTTACACTGCTTTAATTCTTTGATGAAAATTAATCCTTGACCCCCCCCCCCCCCCCTTCCCCAAAAAATCTAATGGAGAGCTCTCTGATTTTACTTTTGCAGCTTGGAACTCCAAAAAAGATCAAAGGATTTGGCTCACAAGATTGCCTTGGAAGAGGCTGTGCTTCGGAGATCAACTCGTGTACGTGCACCCCCTAGGGAAAATCCTGCTAATGCTTTCCTCAAGTATGCGAACAAATGGAAAGAAGATTAATTTAATTCGAGTTTGATATTGGAGAGCACAGTTCCATCTAACTAAAATTAGGTGCCGTAATAAGTTTGTGACTTGAGTTGAAAGTAACACTGCAGAGCAGGAATTTTAAGTTGAGTGCTTCCTTACATTTTGATGGAATATGTGGGATGATGGATAATGGAATTTGGGCGAAGAAGGATGTGGAGGAACTGGGATGGAGCTGTTTTTTGATCCATTCCTCTTATCCTCAGTTTTGTAACTGACATTGTTTTCTCATTCTTTAATTGTGCTGTTAACTTGCGTAGAAATTTCTTATATGGATTCTCATTGCTTTTGGGCGGAGATTTCTGTTTGAATGGAAGGTAATGTTTGGATGGAGAATATCATTGTCGCCCATTAGACGGCTATTGCACTTTTGCTTGCTGTCAAAATGTGGCGGCAGGAGTTGGCAATACTTGACCTCGTTCAAAACACGCTGTTTAACTCGACGCGGTTCTGCTTTGGGAGCTCAATGCTTGGAAGTTGGAACCTTGTTATGGGAGTTAGCAACATTAAACTGTCACCCAATGTCTTCGTATAGGCCTAGAGGGAACCAGTGAGGTGGAATCGTATGTCAAAGGGATGAATGCTTGTTTGCTTCCTGTACTTTTTCTTGTTCGATACTTAAAAAGAAAAATAATTATTAGATTGGTATTTCAACTTTTATTTTGTCATTCATTTTGATGTTTGGATTAATTTCATTAGTCAATTTGTTAATGTTGCATGAACGTTCAAAAGATATAGACATGTGTAAAAAATTCAATCGATGTTATATCATTAATTATCATGTTAATATGAAAAAATATAATTTATGAAAAATTTTAAAAAAAATCTAAAAATTTTATAAAAATCCAATAAGATTATAGAAAATTTTAAAAAAATAAAAAATCTTAAAAATTTAATACAAAATCCAAAAAATTCAGAAATTTTATAGAAAAATTCAACAAAAATATAAAAATGAAAGTTTTAATAAAAATAAATTTTCTTAAAAATAAAAAATTTAAAAAATATGAAATTTAAAAAAAATCTAAAAATTTTAAAAAGTTTTTTAAAATTTTAAAATATTCAAAAAATTGAATCATTTTTAAAAAAAATTATAAAAATTAAAAGTTTATGAAGAATTGGAAAAAAAATAGAAATGTTTATTTATTATTGTTGGATTTTTCAGATTTTTTTAATCTTTTTGAATTTTTTTTGAAATTTTTTAATTTTTCAAAAATTTTTTTAAATTATATATATTTTAAAATATTGCAGATTTTTTGAAATTATTTAATTGTTCATAATATTTAAATTTTTCATAATTTTTTAAAATTTTCATATTTTCTAAAAAACTTAGATTTTTTTTAATTATCAGATTTTTTAAAGGCTTTTTAATTTTTTTTTTTGAATTTTAAGAAAATTTTTAGATTTTTAATTTTTCATAATTTTTTTAAATTTTTTTAATAATTTTTAAAAAGAAATTTATTTTTATTTTATTATAATTTTTAAAATATTTTAGATTTTAAACATTTCAAAGATTTTTTTAATTTTTAGAATTTTTTTGAAATTTTTTTGAAAATTTCTTTTAATGCTAAAGTGGTCATCAATGATGTTAGGTTGACTAAACTTTTTTGACATGTGTTAACATTTTATTAAATATTTATACCACATTAGCAAGTTGATTAGTACAGTAATAGTTTAAAATATTGAAATAGATGATGGAATGAAAACTAGAGTACTAAATTAATAATTTTATTTCGTTAAATATCAAATTGATAAAAAGTATATAATACATGAGTCAAATGAGTATTTAACCTTATGTCAAATCTAACTTCGTTTAGATAAATTAAACTTTCTTTTTATTCATAATTTAACTTGATCTGCTTAATCAATGAAAGTTTCTTTAAAAAAAAAAATGATCTATTACTATCTTATATAAAATAAAGGCTAAAAGGTCAAAATTGCCATTAAAATAATTTAATAATTATTTAAGTTATTAACAATTTATTATAACCAATTCAGTCCTTAATATTTTATTTCGACTTTATTGAATTATTAAATGGACGAAATCTAATCAAATAATAAATTTTGATTGATCAATCCTCAAATTAAAATCAATTGAATCCTCAAAGCGATCTTAGAGAAAGAAAAAAATAAAAAAAAGTTATTTATTTAATTTTCATATATATATATTAAATGCGTGAAGAGTCAAACTTTAATCAATTTTATTAATGTTATATAAAATTTTATATTAATTGATAAAAAATTTAATAGTGTTAAATATTTTATCCAAATAAAGACTTAATTGAATGTAAATAAATGTTTGAGAGGTTGATTAATTGCAATAAAAAAAAAAAAACTTGAATGATTTTTTAATTATAATTCAAGGGTTTTTTTTTATAACTTTTAACCAAAAATAAGAAAAAACCTTGATCCACTAATAAGGGGATAAATTATACTGTTATAAAATTAATTTATTTTACATTGTTTTATAATTTCAATTAATATTTTCACAAATTAATCGTTAGATTTAATAATTTATTAGTATCTATGATGCACATAAAATTTTAAGTTAATTCAAAATTTTTATCATATCAATAAAAAATAATATTTATTTAATATAAATTAATAACTGAAATTTATTATTAAAAAATAAATAGTTAAATATTTTTAGTTAATTTGAATTTTAATATGCATGATTTACAAGAATAAAACATAAAATATAATAAATCTGATTTTATATTAATTGGTTCATATAATTATTTTCAAAAAATCAAATCTAATAATTTTGTATTCAAATTTTAATATTTACAACCATTTATCTTATTTTCATATTATGATTTTTTTACAAAAAAATATAAAATAAAATAATTGAATTAACAAAATATATATTATATAAAAATATATATAATAGTATAAAACTAAATTAGTTTTACATTGCTGTAAAAGTGCACACTCAAAATTTTTTTATTATTATTAGTAAATAAGAAAAAAATCATAATAGAGAGACGACAGTCGACAGAGATGGCGACGGCGCACGTTAAGCATCAGCTATGAAAATAGAATTGGCATTTGGCAATGGTAGGAAAAGCAAATTGAAAGCTGACTTGGATTTTTCTTTTATTACTAATAAAAAAATAAAAGAAAAAAAATGACTTGGTTTGACTGCTGATTTGTCATTTTACAGGGCATGTGCATAATTGGCCAAACAAAGTAGGCAAACTTGCCAGCTTCTCTTATTCGTCTACAGGCTAAGAGTTCAACGCTGCCAACCCAAATACGAATCTGAAATCAGCATTCAAAACACTAATATTTCATTACATATACATTCCCATTGCGTTATTTACCTTATTATATTTCCAACATAAAAAAGTTTTTAAAAATTATAAACTAAAAGAAAAAGAAAATCAATTCAGATGGCAGATCGAAGATGGTCATTGATCACATCTGATTGTATCAGATTTATTACCTTTTTACTTTCTGTTTCTAATTAGACATTAGGGAAAAATAAAAACTCTGTAATTTCTTTTGCAAAAGGAATCTTATAAAACAATAAAAGGGTTATCATCATTTTCTTGATGGTTTAATCCTAATCTTGGGTTTTGAAGGTTTAGCACAAGTAATTACATCAACGTTGTGTTGATGTGATTTGTTCAATTGTGAATGTGATTTCTTCCTTCTCTTCTCCATCTCCTTAATGGTCTCCAGCTTGGGTTTCCAATGGTATGAACCCACAAGCTGCGCATACTGCTTCTGCAATGCAAGGGTGGTGCATACCCTACTCCAACTCTCTTCAGTATGATCTTTCATTCTTCCTTCTTCCATCAATTGCCATATAAATTCATCAGACACGCGTATTCTTAAACACCCGGATGAACTCTTGTCAATATGGAAAGGTTCGCAAGCGGCGGCTTTCTTTAAAAGCGCATTTTTTGATTCCCGAGAAGATTGCAGAGATGAAGCGTTGGCAAAGGAGGCAATGGTAACGAAGGATAAAACTGACTGGAAAAATTGTCTAGGAAGTAGAAAGTACTTGTGGCCAAGCTGGAGCTGCTCGTCCTCGGAGAGAGCTGGGATCTTCTGGCCTATGTAAAACGAATCAGAACGGCAAACCATGTGGTTAGGGAACTCTGTCATGAGCTCAGAAACATTGATGGGACGGCCATAGATGTTGACAAGCCCGTCAGATTTGATGAGCTTGATGTCACCCAGAGGAGGCTCAGGCTGGAGGTGGAAGCACGAGATGTGGTTGCTCAACAAGTGAAAGCACCATGGAATTGTATGTAAATTCAAAAGCTTGATGCCCATTTTTAGCTTACATATATATCATAACCTTTTTCCCTGATTCACAAGGTGACTGCAGAAAAAGACGCAGTAAACACCGAAAGGGGCGATTTGTTTTTCTTTCTTTTTTGCTTTGCCGGGAGAATAATCGATGTAATAACATGAAAGGTGGGGGGGGGGGGGGGGGGGGGGACTGTGAGTGGCTGGCTATGTATGTATTGGAAATTGGTATTTAGAGAGAGAGGCGTGAGACCCGGGTAAACCTTTTGCATTTGTTTTTGTTTTTGCTTCTCAAAGTTTGACACTGCTTGCCTATGTTTGACTGAAACTTTCTCTCGTCCCTTTCTCCCACGCTAATTGGGGCCAGCCATCCCCCCTCGCATTGTGCGTTTTGATTTTCGAATCAGATTCCGTCCGCCTCCCTATCACTACTCTATAACCCTGACATAATATATATATTTTAGTACATATACACGACCATAATTATATTTTGAAAATACTTGGTACTTAATGACATTAATTAAGGTCATGTTATTCAAAAATTTATATAATTAATGTATTATTTTTAATTTAATAAAAATAATGTATTAAATATATATTTTTTAAAACTAACCATTAAATAATTCTTATTCAATGTTTGTAACCATCATATTTAGTAAATTAAAATAACCAAAAAAATCTTTTTAATTTAGATAAACTTTTGTACATTCAGTAAGTACTTAATCTTTAATTTATATATAAATAAATTTTTAAAATTTGATATATATTTAAATAAATTTTTAATTTTTAATTTGTACTTAAATAAGCTTTTTAACTTCTAATTTGAGAGCCGTTAGAAATTTATTCACTTGGTTCTAATTTGTCAGGTTGAATGAGAGGTGATTAGGAGGCGGCTTGACGGACTTTGTGCAATGCAATGTGGAGGCATGAATTTCCTGACGCTTTTCTAAGAAATCTACCAATGGTATAAAGTGATCATTGTCCAATGCTTTTATATTTGCATAGGGTAATGGAGATCAATAAGTTTGCCAGGCCGTTTCGCTTTGAAGCAGCATGGTTAACACATGATTCTATTCTGAGTTTGATCAAGGATAATTGGAAGGAAGAGGGAGCACTCAAGGAGAATTTGGATTACTTTATAGGTGTTATTAAAGATTGTATTTCAGATACCTTCGGTAATAGTTTTCACAAAAAAGATCGTTGTTAGCTAGGTTGTCGGGTATTCAGAAGAAATAGGACTTGGGGCTGAATCCCTTTCTTTTTAGACTTGAAGAGGAGCTTCAAAGAGAGTATACCTAGATTTTGCAACAAGAGGAATTTCATTGGTTTCAAAAATCCAGATTGCAGTGGGTTAATCTTGTGGATCGCAACACAATTTTTCCACACAACTGTAATTCGAAGAAACAGCAATTGCATCCTGTCTTTGACGGATGACGATGGGATTTGGTGTTCGGATCAAGCAACTTTGAAGAGAATGGTTATGGGGTTTTTCTTAAAAGTTATTCTGCTGATTCTTTTGGTGCTTTTGGGGAGGATTTTTGTCTAAGAGCTCGGGTTCGATTGTCTGCATCACAGGTGGATATTTTGGCAAAAGTTCCACAAGTTGAGGAGATACAACGAGCTCTATTTTCAACGTTTGCTTTTAAGGCTCCATGTCCGAATGGCTTCCAAGCAGGATTTTGTCAGGCAAACTGGGATGTGGTGCATGTTTCGTTATGTAATTTTATTAGCCAGGCTTTCTTAACAGGGAGTTTTGATAATGTATGTAACCGAGTCTTTTTGGTCCCTATCCCTAAGATTGAACACCTAGAAAAAGTATCTCAGTTTCGCCAGAAAAGTTTATGTAATGTCTTGGTGAAGCTCATATTGAAAATCATTGTGACCAGATTGTCTTTATTTAAAGGATATTGTTTCTCCTGCTCATTGCAGTTTCATTTCCGGTCGAAGTAGCTCGAATAATATGGTACGTAATTGTATAGGAGGTGATGCATTCATTCAAAAAGAAAAGAGGGAAAGCCGATAGTATGATGATGAAAGTTAATCTTGAAAAAGCATATAATCTTATCAGTTGGGATTTTCTTCATTCGGTGTTAATGGATTTGGGCTTTCCACCTTCCATTATCTCACTAGTAATGTTCTGTGTGACTTCTACGAAAATGTATATTCTTTGGAATAGTGAACTGACTAGTTATTTCAAGCCAACTAGAGGATTGTGGTAGGGTGATTTGTTGTCTCCTTATCTATTTGTTCTATGCTTGTAAAAATTATCGGATATTATAGATGAGGCAATCGACAATAATAATTGGAAACCAATTTGTCTGTCTAATAGCGGTCCTCAACTTTCACATTTTTTTTTTCTTTTTGCAGATGATTTGGTTCATTTTGGTTAGACTTCGACTAAACAATGCTCTGTCATAGTGGATTGCTTGAATCATTTTTGCTTTATTTCTAGTCAGAAAGTGAATTTTGAGAAATCCAAGTTTTTGACTTCGGCAAATGGTCAGAAATCAGGTATAGTTGAGCTTGGCAAAATAATGAATGTGGAACACTATTCGGAGTTGGGGACTTATCTTGGTGTTCAAGTTCATTCTCCTTCTAAAACACACTTTTAGAAGCCTTGTTTTGAAGTTGAAAATAGGCTAAGCTCATAGAAGGCAAAGCAGTTGTCCTTGGCTGGCAAAGCGGTGTTAGTCTAATCAATCACCAGTATAATTGCTAATTATAGAATATAGGTGGCTAAACTCCTTAATGCTTTGAATCGGAGGTTTCTGTAGGGAGGCACTGAGAATGCTTGTAAAGTTGCATTGGTTAAATGGGGCAAAATTTGTAGGCCCAGGGGTTTCAGAAAACCTTAGATATAAATAAGGCTCTATTAGCCAAGTTAGAATGGCTGTTAGCTAACGGGGAAAATGGTTTATGGGCTAGGGTTTTGAGGGCTAAATATTTAAAAAAAGGTTTTCATATTTTCCAAGCCTTTAAAAAACCTAGCACTTCTTATACTTGGCGAAGTATTCTCTTGAGTAAGAAATTGGTTGTGTAGGGGTTCGAGAAACTTTGTTTTTAGTGGCAACTAAACATCCTTTTAGAATGACAAGTGGTTGAGTGATCAGCCTTTCGAGTTAAGATGTAACCGAGTTTTGTCAAGTACGGATGAAGTTCGTTGGGTCAGTGATTTTGTGAGTACAAGTGGAGATTGGGATTGGAATTGAATTGGGAGTATTTAGGAGGAGGTTAAAAATCAGTTACTTAAATTTAACTTGTCCCATGATAGAGAAGATCAGTTGTTTTGGTCTGAGGCCTCGAATGGTATGTTTTTTGTATCATCAGCTTATAACCAACTAATAGGTGATCTTCATACCAATGTTAATTGGTTAAAGTTGTGGAAACTTGGTGTACCGCATAGGATAAGTTCTTTTGTGTGGTTAGTTCAACATAACAGGATCCTTTCAAAGGAATTGTGTATAACTAGAGGAATTTCAAATTCATCTTTTTGTCCAAGATGCGAGAACCAAGTTGAATCATCATTGCACCTGTTTAGACATTGCATGTATGCAGGTGATTTAAGGAGTCATGGGCCTACCTTGGATCAGTTTAATTCTATCCCTAAAAGATTTGGTTATGTTTAATCTTGCCAAGAATAATGTCATGGTGGAAGAAATTCCTTTGCCACTTTCATTAATTTTTGGTTGCTGGTATTTTTGGAAATGAAGAAATAAATGTATTTTTGAAGAGGGTTTCTTATGGCCTGGTTATGCGGTTAATATTGTTAAAGATAAGGCAAGAAATTTTATTAATTATAGAGACATCAAAGGTGCTACTTCAGCCAAGCGGGTCTCGTTTATTGCTCGGAAACTTCCTTGGGGTGAATTTATCAAGATTAATGTGGATGGCGTTACTTATATATTAATCCAAGTGAGTTGCGTATATATAGGAGGTATTGCAAGAGATGATAATGGTTATTGGTTGTTTGGATTTGCTAGAAAAATTGGATATGGTTCGACGCTTAAGACCGAATTGTATGCAATTCGAATGGGACTAAAATTAGTTTGAAAGAAAAGTTTTAAAAGAGTGATTATTGAATCGAACTTTTTGTTGGCGGTTAATAAGGTGACATGCGCTTTTTATGCCAAAGACCGTTATCATATTATTCAGTATTATCAATAATTATTCAGTAAAGGTTGGGTTTAAGTAGAATCCAACACATTAGTTCATGCACCAAAGTTGAATTTAGTAGATCAAGTTGCATTAGTACTTATGTCCGTCCAAGGAATGTTATTAGACTAATGCAACTTGATCTAGTAGGAGTAGTAAGACTTAGAGTCTTAAGTTTATAAGTGGTTTGCCCATCGAGTTGTTAAAAAAAAAAAAGTTATTGTTTGAAATAAGAATTTATTTAAATATAAATTAAAATATAAAAATTTATGTTAAAAAATAAGATAATTAAAAGATTTTTAATACTATTTAATATTAGTACTACATTCATAGTAAAAGCGAATGATTTGTCAGTTGTCAGGTGTGCGATATATTGATGAACATCTTTCATCATCGACAACACTTTAAAAAAAAAAAAAAAATAGCATAAACCTACAATCCCATAAGCTGTGAATGACACCGGGATAACGATAGAAGCTAAATAATAATAATAATAATAATATAAAGTAATCCATAAAAAAAATAAAGATAAAAAAATTACTATCTAAATGACTGTCAGAATCAAACGCTCTAAAGAGCGAGAATACCAAATTCCGTAATGCACCAAAGCTTATGCCTTTCCTACATATCACTCAATCGCAATCCTCCGTATCCAGAATTAAGGTTGCGCATGACGAGGATTTGTGTCCCTTAATTTACCCTTGACTAATGTAGTTCATACATAGCTACCTCAAAAATATATTGGAATCTGTAATTAATAATTCATGGGATGGATTGTCCAATGTTGACCCAACACAGTAGCATTTTGTTCCGTATTTCAATATGTTGGAAATTATGCAGATGTGATGTGACTATGAGAGATAAATAAGATTAGGAATCGAACCCATTTTTACTCACGTGCCGGTGCTTATCAGCTTATGACTTCCGCCGTGAAAGCTGTGCTTTGCGTGTGTATGTGTGTGTTCAGATTTGGAGTTGATGGCGGCGCCATTTGTTTCTCAAAATTTATACTAGTT